GAAAGTTTGGCCAAACTTTCCTGACGATCCGTTTAGTGAAAAACTTGTAGGTGAAAACCTAGGTATATATATCTGGCTTATATAGGTATATATATATATATATATATATATATATATATATTAAGAAATGGACAAGGTCCGACATTAATATATGACGTCATTTGTTTAAATTCGATACGCCAGAGCAGTTATGAATGTACGAGATTCATGGAAAATTGGAGTTTATAAGCAGTAAATTCGACCTTGTCTACCGAACGCTTTGTAGCCTAAGCGGTAAGGCACGTCAGCGTATATGACGGTTCCGTATAGGATGCAGGTTCGAATCCTGTCAAAGAACGAAAATTTTCTATGAAAATTTCTCGGACATTCAGGCCGGTAAATGTTATTTAATACTGTTTATCATAAACAGAGCATTTGCTTAAATACTTGTATCTATAAAATAACAACGTTAAACATAAAATATGTCTTTAATAAATATATATATGAATGTGTTAATAAATACAATGTTTAACTTATATTAAATCCCTTAATTATTTGTAAAAAAGTTAAATATTTAAATTGCTAGCAAGTATCAAATTAATTTCTTCAGATTTTTTTAGACACCTAAATTACTATCAAACATTAAAATCAATTTTTTACATAAATTGCTAAAACTTACCACCCATCACCTCCAGCTGCAAAACCCATTTACAGCCTCTTTCTCTTTACTTCCCTCTTTCTTTTTTCTTTTTCCTTTTTCTTTGCTATCTTCTCCCCTCCTATTTCAATATATCACTTCCGTTAAGTTAACCGTCTAAATAGGTCAAGGTCTGGTCACTCCTCCTCCCCCAATACTAAGTCTGATTGAGAGAGATATTAAATTAATCCCTCCCTAAACTCTACCGTGTCTCTCTAACTACTCCTTATTACACTCTCTGTTAAATTAGAAAAACTTACACTCGCCATCAATTTTCATTTCATTTTTCGTTTCATTTTTGAAAGTGCTATCTGATGATCCGGAGTCCTTTAAACGGGCTCTGGTGAAATAAATTATTATAATGGAACCTTGAAGTGGTCTGTTTTTCTTTAAAATATTAGCTCTGGATTTACATTGAGCTCACAGGATTTCATCCTCCCTTGGATTAGCAATACGGATTACCAAGTTCTTCGTAACTTATATATATATATATATATATATATATATATATATATATATATATATATATATATAATTATTTATTTAAAATATGATTCGTCTCAAAACAAGAGCCGAAAAACTTCAATATGATTATTTGAATTAAGTTGAATTAAAGGATGGAATCATATTTTTAAATAAATAATTATATTTATTTCTACTTTTGTATCGAGCACTATTTTTTAAAAATAATAACAAAAATACTAAAGAACTTTGGATTATTTACCTAACGAGTTCTTTCCTATTTTCTATATATTTTACACAACAACGCACACACACACACACACACACACACACACACACACACACACACACACACATATATATATATATATATATATATATATATGACAATGAAAACCCCACATATATTAATGTTAACTCTAGCCAATTCCAATGCCATTGTGAGACAGATACCGATCACTGTCCGCACTAGGATTAGTCGATTATCGTCCAATATAAACATCTTTAATAAAAGATAAAGAATTGTATGAAAATGTTCTACATAAAAGTGGTTTTAAAAATAAATTATCTTATGTAACCCCCATAAGTAACACTGAAATATCTAAAGTGAAATGTAGACACAGATATAGAAAAAGAAAACTTATATTTTTCGATCCCTCTATTTCTGCAAACTGTCAAATATTAATATCGGCCATTATTTTCCAAAGTGAATAAATAAACATTTTCACAAAAAATAACCCTCTAAGTAAGATCTTCAATATGAAAACGATTAAAATTAGCTATTCCTGCACTAATAACATGTACAAAATTATCAACTCTCATAATAACTATATTTTAATAAGTTCTATGGGATAAACAACAAACCTGGTATTGAACCCTCCTGTAATTGTAAAGATAAAGAAAGTTGTCCAGTTTAGGGCAAATGCAAATCTACCTTGTTATATACCAAGCAACCATTTTCCCCAAAGAAAATATGTTAAATTATAATGTTTACATTGGACTTTCCGTGGGAGAATGGAAACAGAGATTTTATAGCTATAGGAACTCTTTTACCAATCCTAAATTAAAACGCCAGACAGCTCCTTCAAAAAAAATTTGGGGAATTGAATGAGAAAGATCTGAACACACAGATAGACTGGAGAATTATAGGTTCCACTCATACTCCTAATAGTCTTAGAGATAGGTGCAGCTTATATTTAAAAAAAAGAAAAAGAAAATAATAAAATATAATAATCAAAGCAAACTATGTAATCAAAGGAATGAATTAGTTTTAAAATGTCAACATAAAAACGAATTTAAATTTCCATAATATAGATTTTACTTTATTAAATTATAATTCTATAACTTTTTAAATGTCGAATGTATAACTATTCCTATTTCTATATTTCCATTTTTTTCACCATATTAATTATATCTTATAATTGTCCCCTATTCTAAGAACTCTCTTTCTTTTTATCACTTACACCTCTTTATATATATATATATATATTTAAGTTCTTTTAAATATAAATTTGTATTGTAGTTTTTTTAATATAACTTGTTTTTAAAGTTATTTTTTCAAATGGATAATTTATTTTATCTTATTATATTTTATTTTTAAATATATTTTTATTCTTTAATATAATTTTTTTTTTTTAATTATATTTTTTTAAAAATATATTCTTACTTGAATTTAATATTAACTATCTAAAAAAAGACTTATTTTTAACTTTATATATATCATATTTTTAAGTATAATTTATCTTTCGAAGAGTATTTTTAAGTAGGAACTTGTATTTTTAAACCTAACTTTATCTATATAAATTCTTTTTTAAAACTCCATTTTCGATCCTCTTTTATTTTCAAATTAACACTTCATTCTTCAGATAACCCCAATTTAATGTCATAAGGTTAATATCCGGGTTTAACTTTATAAAACCTCTTCCTTTCCATCCTCCTCCGACCACTTTATCGTGCATTTCGTCTGACTGAAACATTGAAATGGATAAATTCTGTATTCATTTTTCGACGGGAATCAGTTTAAATTTCAAATTCCGACACGAACTGGGGGTTGAATAAGACTGACGAAGGTTTCGTGGGTTGAAAAAGGTCTATCTCCCGCCATATGAGGTTATTCGTGATTTTGTTGTGTAATACTATTTATTGGCACTGTTATAATAAATACATTGAGCTCTTTTTGTGGATCAGTTTTAATATTTTATATTACTAAGATCTACTTAGATTATATACTAACGGATATATATATATATATATATATATATATATATATATATATATATATATATATATATATATATATATATATTAAAGACATTTTTATCTTTAACGTTCTTTTTATAGATACAAGTATGCTCTGTTTATAATAAACAGTATTAAATGACATTTACCGGCCTGAATGTCCGAGAAATTTTCATAGAAAATATTCGTCATTTACGCTGACGTGCCTCGACCACTCGGCCACAAAGGATCGTTCGGTTGGCAAGGTTGAATTTACTGCTTATAAACTTCAATCTTCCATGAATCTCATACATTCATAACTGCTCATGGCGTATCAAATGTAAACAAATGACGTCATATATATATATATATATATACACCAAAAGTCAATATTTTTAGGGAATTTTTAAATTTGTTTTTGTGTCTACACTTGAAAATAGGTTCGTAGATTATTCTTCCTTCTTTTCTTTGTTTTCTCTCGTTTCTTTCCTTTCCCTCTTTCTTTCTTTCTTTCTTTCTTTCTTTTTTCCCAAATTATTTATAAAATTTTATACTGAAATTTAAATTTTTTTTTATTTCTTTCTTTTTTATTATAAAAAAAATCTCATTTTTCTTTCTATTTTTCTCTTCTTTTTTTTTTTTTGTCTGTCTGGACAATTTGATTCCATTTCTGAAAAACCTTAGGTCTGAATAGATGAATATTTAAATATATTCATGAAACAAATTGTAATGGAGCTAGATTTTTATGGATTTTCCTGACTTATTATTATATTGCTCTGTTACTTACATTGAACTCTCTTTGGATTAATGTCCTCCTTGAAATTATTCCAACTAATTACCAATTGGTATTGGCATTAAATATATATATATATATATATATATATATATATATATATATATATGTGTGTGTGTGTGTGTGTGTATATATATATATATATATATATATATATATATATATATATATATATATATATATATATATATGAATCATTCATACAAAAAACAGATATTGAAGTTAATGTTTTAAATGGCGAGAATACATCTTCGCAAACAATTTTAATAAAGTACACTAACCCCGAACCTGTATATGAATGATATGATCCCTGTTTATAAATTCCAGTTGCATCAGGTCTTTTTTTAGTTTTTACAAGCTTTCGTCTGTTTCTACAGACATCCTCAGGTATGGAAATAGATTTGTTCTTGTTTTTTACTTCACGGTAATAAAAGGACAACGAAAATAGAGATGTAATCCGAAAAAATGCTATGAGAAATGTGTTATTGTTTTGGAGCGTTTTTGTACTAATATGGTAAAACAATAGCACATTTCTAAATTTTATGAAGAAAATAAGAAAATAACATGAAAGAAAGAAGATTGATTTGATTTTACGGCTTGTCAACCTTTTGTAGGCTATTTAAAGCCGGAAATTATTTTTAGATCGTAAGAATGTTTTTTTAGATAATAATGCTTCACTGATACAAGTCCTAATATTTAACCCATAGTTGGGGCCACGACAAGAGTTGTATTCATACCTTTCTTACGGGTATTTGCAAGTAAATGACTATAAAGAAGCCAACTGGAATTGAAACTCGGCTCCCCGATTTTCTATTCCGAACCGTTATACATTGCACCAGCCGCACATCCAAGATTACAGTCCCTGGTATTGCCAAGCGGTCACCCATCTAGCTACTGATCAGGCTCGACGTTGCTTAACTTCGGTGATTGCATGAGAACCGGTATTTCAACGTGATATGGCCGTAAGCCGAAAGAGAGAAACAGGAAGGGAAGAAAGAAACAATCAGGAATGAAAGGAAGAATACAGAAAATAAGGAAAAAAAGCGGGAGAATATGAAAAAGGGTGGGTGGGTGTTGGGGAAGAAACGAAGAAGAAATTGCGAAGAAAGAAAGTCATAGAGACAGACAGAAAGAAAGAACGAGAAGAAAGATAAAACGGTTTTGAAACATCAAAAGTTTTATTTTTTTTTTTAAAAATTAGTCTCCATGTAAAGATATATTTACATCATTAAAACGCTTACTTAATGATTTAATTAGTAACGCTTTTACATTCCAAGCGACACATGGCCTATTGAATTAAATGTTAGTTAAACCATATCTGGTTCCCAGACTTCTTGGCATTTAATCCTTTGGTCTCGTCATGCTGAAAGTCACCATACTCTAGTTCAGTGGAAGAAACGAACAAGTGACACATAACGCAAAAAGAAGTAGACGAGAATTAACTGATACTAGATATGCAGCAAAAACGGAATGAGAACCAATCTACCGCCGTAAAAAAAGGTTCAGTTCAAAACTCCGAGAAGGTTAACTAATACAAGATCTGCAAAAGGCTGGCGGGTGTAATGACTGAAACATTGTAAGCATAACAGCCTACATAGTTTTTTTTCTTTGTTTTTTAACCCTGTCTTCTCTGGACGTAGGCAATCAAATCTCTCCAAAAAATTCTTGTTTTGTAGCATCATAACAAGGTTTACTTTCCTATTGTCTTCTCCACGGTTTTGAATTCAGAGTGTTCCTTTCTCTATGTAGAGTAGAAATGGAAGGTCTCATTAGATAAGGGACCAAGTGTATTTTTGTATTGGTATCTCGTTGGTACGAGAGTAAAATAATGGGCCGTTGTGGTTATTCTAGATGGCGCTGCGAACAGGACGCTTGTGAATATGTGGAACACTCTTAACAAAATAAGACATGGCGTCTGCACCAGGTGGAAACCTCAATTTGATAACTCAACTTATGCAACAAATGATAGAGCTACAAAGGGAAACTATCAGGCTACGGAGCGACGGAACCAATAACGCGACACAAACGTCCAACACCCCCAACTCAAAAAAAAAAAAAAATAGACCGTCCTGTCATTGAACTCATCGCAACGGACAACGACTGGGTATTATTCTTTGACGTTTGGACTTGGTATAAAGAGATGTGTAAACTTAACCAACCCAGTCGAAATACGGAATGAATTGAGAACGAAATGCTCACCGGAAGTTAACAAGCTTCTTTTCGATCTCATATGGGCTGAACCCTTAAATACAGCTACGGAGGAAAGGCTTTTGTCACACACCCGATTCGTTGCAGTAAAGGGCTTGCGCAAGGAAGTTCACCGGCAGACCTTTGATTCCATGCATCAGGCAGAAGGTGAATCAATCACTCATTTTTTTAGCAAGGCTATCAGCTCAAGCCAAATTTTGCTCGTTCACAGTTGACTGCCTCAACATGGAAAACTGCTGTCAGCGCGACATGAGAGCTGGACAGATGATTGCGGGACTCGCCAACTAGGAACACCAAAATCAAGTTTTGGCCGAGTCTGCCAACCCCACCACACCCGAGAAAATGTTCAACCGACTCGTCAGCTTGGAAACGACGGACAAGTCAGCTGCAAAGCTACTAAATTATGTTACCCCGTCAACCTGATCCTACCTACAGATATCTGGCCACGAGCACCATGAAACCCCGAAGAACTAATGTACCCGCTTCTTCGCCGAATAATAATCCTTGTGTGGGTTGCGGGAAGACCTTCTACCCAGTGGATCAATAATTAGGACAGATTGCTTCGCAGCTAAACTGGTATGTCATAATTGTGTGATTAGGGGTCACTTTCTCAAACACTAGTTTGAAAGCTCCCTCTGCCCGCGATATCCGTTATGCTGGCAGAGTCGTAAAACCGGTTTGACATCGCCCGGTCGTGTGCATCATCTTGCGTGGAACGAAAATACGATTTGAAGCTGCACCAGATTCACCGCAATCACTGACAATAGAAGGGACCATAATGTATCAAACCAACGCTTCATTTAGACGAACCCAGATTGGTCCAGTTAGCCATGGTAGTCAACGAATCCCCGCGTTCGCCGATACAGGGATTCAAACTTGTTCAAGTGGATCAGGGATATTAAAACTACCCAGGGATCCAGACGAGTACCTCGTACCAACTAGTCATTGAATACGTGGTATCACAGACAACTTCATATAAAGGGCGTGTTGATCATGCTTATAAGAATTGGCTCGAGGGATGATACGAGAGTTGGTGTATGTCTTAAACAACAGGTTTGGTTTTTATATATCAGAATCTATCCCCAAGGACTTACATCTGTTGACACCGGATTTCCTAGCCCAGACATCATGACTCAACTCGTTAAGAACGCAAAGAAAAAAATGACCCTTTGTACATGTCCACTCAGAAAACCCATTCCAGCGATGCCTAGTACCATCCCGTTTCTTCCGGCGGAAAGCAACAGGCACCTACTGGAACGATAGGTACAAGACCATTTCAAGTCCAGCGCATTTAATACACGTCTACACCAACCCTTACAGACTATAACAGGAAAGCCATTGGGCATTATTTTCGTCGCTGATGCGACGCCATCAGCGGTCCACACAACGATCCCTGTCCCTGGTTGAAGAGAGTAAAACAAGACTTCGATGGCATTGGATATAATTGAAGTGGTCCCAGAAGGCACTCCTACAACCTAATGCTCAAAGGTGATAGTCGCACTCAAAAAAGACGGTTCTTCCAGACGCACGGTTGACTTACAAGAACCGAACGCTACCCCCATGAGGGAAACCCATCACACTCCGGCCTATTTAATCATCGTTCCGGCTCACACAAGGAAAACATTTCTGGACGCATGGAACGGATACCACAGCCTACCGCACAAGATACCACTACATTTATCAATGAATGGGGCCCGTACAGATATTTTCGTGCTCCCCAGGGATTTCATGCCTCTGGAGACGGATATACCCTTTTGGGGATTACAAACTGTCGATTCTATTCAGATCCAGTATCAAGATGGCCCGTATCCTCGTCGGTGGACAAAAACAGGGAGAATCACGGAGATAACCGGCAGTAGCGTGTGCGGGTGAATGGAAGCAATCGGGTAACTCTACGAAAACGTTGCTTCCTCTGTAAGATCCACCCATATATAGACGTCCCACATCATTCTACCCAGGGGGCGGATCGCTCGATCCCATGGCACTCTGATTTACAGCCGGTTCAAGATAGCAACATGGAAAATAGATTAACTACATCTAGGATAGAACCGTATAAGAGCTCTGCAGCTCCGGCCGCAGTGACCCGATGAATCGTCTATAGTCATCGACACGGAGTATGATCCTTATCATCCAACGTAGAACCAATGGTCTACCCAAAACACATATAGTTGGGGTTCCATTGAGATCTATTTTGTCCATGGTAGGATCTTCACAGCATCACGTGGCTAAATGGCTTACCTCCATATTACAGCCAGTTTTAGAACAGTATAACTCTTCCTGTATTAAAGGTTTGTTTGAATTTTCCGATTTTCTGCAGCGTCATTCGTCGACGGATATATTTCTATGTCCTTATGATATTTCCAGTCTATTTACCAGCGTCCCTCTCGCTGAAATTATTGATATATGTGCTAATAATCTACATCGTAGTCAGTTGTCTCCTCCTGCTATTCCTGAGCATGTGTTTGTCGAATTGATGAAATTTGACACGATGTCTGTTGAATTTACTTTCGACGGCATTATCTATAGCCAAATTGATGGTGTCTCAATGCGTTCCCCTTTGAGACCCATCTTAGCAAACATCTTTGTTGGATTCCACGAAGAGAATGTGTTATCTAAATTTATTAAACCTGATATTTACTTCTGTTACGTTGATGAAACTTTGTCTCTTCGATAACGAGATTGAAGCGGATCATTTTCTTTCGTCCTTGAATAAAATGCTCCCAGCTTTAACATTTACACAAGAAAAGGAAATTGGTTCTTCTCTTGCCTTTCTTGATGTTTTGCTCAGCAGATCTTCGTCGGGTTTTCTTGCTTCTGTTTATCGTAAACCGACGTTTACCGGTTTATACACACATTGTGACTCTTTTTATCCCTTAAAACGCAAAATTAATTTAATTAAAACCCTCACTCATAGGGCTTTGATGATCCGCTCTAAAACCAAGTTTGATGATGAACTGAAGTTTATTACCACAATTCTCTGTAACAATGCTTATCCTTTGAGCATCGTTCAGTCAATAATTAAGAAAAAAATTGCTGAATTGAATAGTTACAAAAGTACAAAGATGTCCTGTTTACCTGTGCCTTCCTTGTCTACAGTACAAAAATGTCCTGCTTACCTGCGCCTTCCTTGGCTACAGTACAAAGATGTCCTGTTTACCTGCGCCATCCTTGGCTACAGTACGAAATGTCATGTTTACCTGCCCCTTCCTTGGCTAGAGTACAAAGATGTCCTGTTTACCTGCGGCTTCCCTAGCTACAGTACAAAATGTTCTGTTTACCTGCGCCTTCCTTGGCTAGAGTACAAAGATATCCTGTTTACCTGCGCCTTCCTAGGCTAGAGTACAAAAATGTCCTGTTTACCTGCGCCTTCCTTGGCTAGAGTACAAAAATGTCCTGTTTACCTGCGCCTTCCTTGGCTAGAGTACACAGATGTCCTGTTTACCTGCACCTTCCTTGGCTACAGTACACAGATGTCCTGTTTACCTGCACCTTCCTTGGCTACAGTACACAGATGTCCTGTTTACCTGCACCTTCCTTGGCTACAGTACACATATGTCCTGTTTACCTGCGCCTTCCTTGGCTACAGTACACATATGTCCTGTTTACCTGCGCCTTCCTTGGCTACAGTACAAAGATATCCTGTTTACCTGCGACTTCCTTGGCTACAGTACACAGATGTCCTGTTTACCTGCACCTTCCTTGGCTACAGTACACAGATGTCCTGTTTACCTGCACCTTCCTTGGCTACAGTACACAGATGTCCTGTTTACCTGCACCTTCCTTGGCTACAGTACACTAATGTCCTGTTTACCTGCACCTTCCTTGGCTACAGTACAAAGATGTCCTGTTTACCTGCACCTTCCTTGGCTACAGTACACAGATGTCCTGTTTACCTGCACCTTCCTTGGCTGGGTAATGTCTGTGATAAATAAGCTAAGCGTGTTTCTTTGGCGGTTCGACATTGTTATTTTGTTGCTAACACTCGTGCAGTCTTTTCTGCGAAGCCTGTCCTTCCCTCCATGTGGAAGGAGGTTCTCCCTGCATAACATAATAGTTCCTTGATTTATTCATTTAAATGTAGTTGTGGCTCACACTCCATAGGGAGAACGACTCAAAGGATAGATGTCAGAATAATGCAACACGTTCCAACAATGATCCGCAATCTTAAGTATACTCCTTCAGACATTCTGACCAATACATACGGGTCTTACATCACAGAACGCCTAATAAATAGCCATAACTGAGCCACTAATTTAAGTGTGGACTCATTTAGCATGTCTCGCTCGAATTACCACTTGAAAGTGTTGGAGGCCATTTATATTTTATTTTTTAAACCTTTCCTGTGCAAAGAGAAAGATTTCGTACTGGGATTCCATCTAAGCAATATTTTTTCTCCCCAATTTATATTGTTCACCTTTTTTTCTTTTTTTTTTTTTGTTAGTGATAATTCTATATTTATTAATCTCGATTTAGCTCTGTTCTGTGAGATTCGAAACAGGTTAGCTAGCTCGTTTTTCAGTGTTTTTATCTTTTTACCTATTATCATCATGAGTTGTGATAAATATAACTTTTGTCTTTTTATGGCGGTCATAACATTTTGTACCACCAATCATATCTTTAGATATAAGCCAAATACCGCGAGTAATGAACGAGAAGAAACGAAAATTAACGACACCGCGGATTCAGTGTGCCCAATACAAAGCAAATATTGGCAAACAGCGATATAGAGCAACACCATCCCCAAGTCAACGACCACATCGAAACACGCGGGCACCCCGAACTCTATCCCCACAAATGCGAGAACAATCGTACACTCATTCTGGGGCAAACTTTCAACTGACCAGGTCAACCCGCTCTGTGGTCATAGGAGGGAAGTGGTATGTAGAGTAGAAATGTAAGGTCACATTAGATAATGGGGGACTTCCACAGGCAGCCATAAGTTACCTCCTCCAGTGTTATATAAACTGCTGAGTGGCCCGGAGCCAAATGTATTTTTGTATTTGTATCTCGTTGGTACGAGAATAAAGTAATTGATAATCACCATAGCCCATTGTGGTTATTTTACATTCTAGACTCGTTGTCATTTAAAGCGAAACCGCCAAGTCTAAGCTGAGAATAGAATATTTGACCTTAACAGATTTAACAAAATATTGCAATAACAATGCAGGCAATTATTTAAAAAGGGTACAAATGAAAAATTAAGCCCCATAGAACGTTATCGCCATTTTTCTTTCTTTTTTTCATTTTTTTTCTTTCTTCGCATTTTCTTCTTTTTTTCTTTTCTTTTTTTCACGCCCTTTTTGATATTCTCCCGCTTTTTTTTCCCCTTATTTTCTGTATTCTTCCTTTCATTCCTGATTGCTACTTTTTTTTCCCTTCCTGTTTCTTTCTTTCGGCTTCCGGCTATATCACGTTGAAATACCGGTTCACATGCAATCACCGAAGTTAAGCAACGCCGAGCCTGATCAGTAGCTAGATGGGTGACCGCTTGGAAATATCAGGTGCTGTAATCTTGGATATGTTGCTGGTGTAATGTATAACGGTTCGGAATAGGAAATCGGGGAGCCGAGTTTCAATTCCAGTTGGATTCTTTATATTAATTTTATTGCAAATACTCGTAAGAAAGGTATGAATACAACTCTTGTCTGTTAAAAATTCATGACGGTCGTCTTTGAGTATAGAATCCAGAGGTTAGCAGTGAATATTTTGGAGACAGTAGGAAAGCGTTGTTCAGGTTAGCAGTGGATATCCCGGTAAAGTAGCAGAGCGTCGTTCTTCCTTCTGTTCCTCTTCGCCTGACAAGCTGCCACTGGACATTCGGATAGAGTCAACAAAATGGCCGCCTTTATACACGACGGATACAATGTTCTGCGGCTTCTGATTGGTTAACCTTCTATTGGTGGACTGTAAAGGGAGTTAAGTCATTTTGACTCGCTCACTAGTCATATATATATATATATATATATATATATATATATATATATATATATAGAAAAAACTGTAACATTGTCGTTGCCCCAACTATGGGTTAAATAGTAGGACTTGTATCAGTGAAGCATTATTATCTACAAAAACATTCTTACAATCTCTAAAAATAATTTCTGGCTTTAAATAGCCTACAAAAGGTTGACAAGCCGTAAAATCAAATCAATCTTCTTTCTTTCATGTTATTTTCTTATTTTCATTACTCTTCCTTTCATTCTTCATTTCTTCTTTATTTCCGCCATTTTTTATTTTGTATTGTTTTTTTTATTTCATTCTATTCTGTTATCTATTTTCTAAATTCTTTCTTTCTTTCTTAACTTTCTGATTTCTTCTTTCTTTTGTTCGTATTTTCTTCTTTTATTACTTTTACACCTTTTCTCTCTTTCATTCTTTCTTTCCAGTTTTTTTTTTTATATTTCCTTTCATACCTGTTTTCTTCTTTCTTCCCCTGTGTACCCACAAGCCCTGTCTAGAAATGTCTGCCTGCATCCCTGCTTGCATGCATCATCCATTGGTATACTAAGCTACTCCCTACCACTCATCTTTTTTACGGCATGTCCTTCGCGAGTGTTTGATTGTTCTTAATAAAGGAATTCCATCAATAAAAACTTCTTGTGCAGTCTTTGCTCAGGGTTAAATTGTTTCAATGTTTTAGATATTCAGTAAATTTCCTATGGCCGTAATAACTTTTAAATAGTATGGCATTGTCTACAAATCTAACAATCAAACAAAAACAGGTATGAAGCATCTGAACTTGATTCAACTGCAAGTGCAAACACATGAACGCCATCTCCTTTATCGGACGTTTACTGTAAAGCTGGGGGTTAATAAGAGGTTCTCAAACAATCTTTGCATCAAAGTTTGTTCGTATGCCAATTTAGGATGGAATCATATGAAGAAACTATTGACTAAATGACAAAAGCCGATTTTGTCGCAGATTTCGTCCACTTAACTGAAATAATCTAAAGCAATCATTCATGCAAGATAATCTGTGCGTCATATGTAATTTACATGGCAACATTGGAAAGCATCGGATGAAAAACCAGGAAGTTATGGCCGAAAAGCGAGCTTTTTAAATAGTTTTTCGTGTTTTTTACGGGAAGCGAGCAGTTCTAAGCTCATACTATCTTATGTCTTGCATGATGGTAAATTTTTGCGACATGTTTAAAGAAAATCGGATTAAAAATGAAGATATTCAAATTTTTAAGTACTACGAAAAGACCAATTTTTTCAGTTTTTTGCAATTTTTTTGTGTGAAGCCAATGTCACGGGAAAACTATTAAACACCCTACATAAACCTCGTAACATGAGCGGATGTTTTGCAATAAGTGCAAAGAACATCTGCTCATCCAGTAAAAAAATGTTGTTCGCGTTTAACCTTGCCTTATATATATATTTTTTTTTTTTTTTTTTTTTGCAAAATGTCGTTCGCACCTTCAGTTTTATCGATTTTTCTGCCAAACACGGTAGGGCTTGGAGATTGAAAAGTTGGTCTTGACCCGTTTTGGTAAATTCACAACATGTGTGTACAATTTCATCGAAATCGACCGAGAAATGTGGACGTGCATAAATAGTGTACACACACACACACACACACAAACACAAACAGAGACAGAGAGACAGACAGACATCTGTTTTATAGATATACATTTTCTTATTTTCTGTATCCTTTCTTGATTTTTTTCTTCTTTTTCCTTATTTTCCGGTTTCATCTTTCGGACGTTTGTATTTTTTCTTCTGTTACTTTTATATGTTTAGTTTCTTTCTTTCTTTCTTTCTTCATTCAAGCTTTTTTTTACTTTCTTTATACTTCCTTTCCTTCCTGTTTTCTTTTTTTTTTTTCTTTCTTGTTATATATGCTTCCATTTTCTCAAAAAATATATCTAACATAACTTTAAACAAAACTGATTGGGCCATTATTTATCTGAGGCATCGCACATGCTGACTAATGTCGGAAAAAGCAGAATTATAATATAAGTATGTATAAGAGTTTATGTAAATATGTGCTCAAAAGAAGAGATGCTGAAAAGTTCTCAATCCTACGATCTACCTAAATAATGCCCAACTGATTAAATATCAGAATTTAGCGTTATATATTTTTTGACAGTAGTCAAGGTCTACGCATGACGTCATGTATAAGATATCCATATGTTTGAATTTAGGGTGTAGCGTTCCAAAAATATTGGGGTGTTTTTTTTTTTTTTTTTTAAGCATTACGCCCCGAGCAAGGCGTGAAGCCACTAGGATGCAGGGAGTTGCAGAAGATTTGGAGCGAGAGCAGATAGGAGTGATAGAAGAAAGGATGAGGAGAGGGATAGTGGATAGATCAAGGTAACTGGAGGTGTCGATTGACATTACATTTGAATAGTTGGAGATTATAGCTCTCAGGGAAACTGGAATAGGGAAGGGTGTTCCACAGGCGAGAGGTGCGAGGTATGAAGCTATTGGAGTAGAAGAGACGGCTACATTTAAAAGTTTCTACAGTGAAAGGGTGAGAGCGGGATGCCAGTCTCGCAGGGCGCTTGAATTCATGAAGTCTGGGAACCAGTGAAAGCAGCTCATCGGAGCAATTACCATGAAAGTATTTGTAAAACAGACAGAGAGAGGCGACGGCGCGTCTGTGAGAGAGCAACTGTAGACGAGATGCCAGATTAGGGCCAATTATATTACATATCCGTCTCTGGATCTTGTCAAGAACTCCGAGGTAAACAGAAGGGGCTCCAGACAATATATGGCAGCAATACTCCATGCAAGGTCGAATGGTTGATTTGTATATTTGAAGTATCGATTCCGGGGAGAAAAATTTCCTGGCGCGGCACAGAGAGCCAACTTAGCCAGCAAAATCTTGTCTAACATATTGGCAACCTTTAGTACTTACTAATGACTGAATCGAAATATCTCGAACAAAAACATGACCTTTGGATAGTTTATAAACAAATTTAATTTGGACATCTCACAACTTATTTCAAATAGATAAAACATACATGAAAAATTAAACAGACAAATCTTGTCGGTTGAAAACTCATTTAAATGAATTCTTGCAGCTAAGTATACTAAACACAATTAGTTACGGCCTATTATGAACAGCGAACAGTTTTGGGGACAGATTTAATAAAGAGAAGATGCTTTGTAGACACGTGGTAAAAACAAAACCGCTGCAACAGGAAGTACAGGTTTTGTGCACAAGGACATAATATTCACTAGCTTTTCTACTTCAGGGTACGAGAGAAGGCATAACACATTTCTACGTGATGTTAGCATGTTCTTTTGTTAAATGAATAAAATTAGGTACTTCCATTGATTCGCAAAAACATGATGAAAAATGGCTATACGTAATAAAAACGTAAAAAAAAATATTATCAACATTATTATGTTATTATCAAGAGGAAAGACCACAGGATTGTTTATTATTAAATTATATTAAATTAAATTATATTTATTATATATATATATTATATTTTTCGGTTCTTTTTAGGAAGTTCGAAATTTTTTGTTTTTTTGGTGGTGGTGGTGGTGGTGGTGTGTGGGCAAAGTTTAGTATAGAACATTTTAACGCATTGATTTTGAAATTCTTGCAAAATTTAAATAATTGTCGGATTTTAATGAAACTTTCGGGATTTATTCACAAAGGAATGAAAATATTTTCGGAATGTGCTTCTTTAGAAAATCCGGATAAAAATAATTTTTTTTACATCTGTCATTCATTTAATATTATGAAATTTCGGTAAATTAAATTTTGACCCACTTTTTATATTAGTTGAAAGGAGAACTCCTTGGAGATTTTAAATTAAAATATTTTTTTTAATAAAAAACAAAAACACTAGTTATCGAAAATCTGCTATAAATCGTAAGATAAAAAATGCAATAAAACTAAGACATTATTTAATTAGAAAAGCTTTTTATTACTTTTATGAATAATATATTTTGGACACTATTGTCTTCATAAAAAAATCATTGTTCGATGAATAATTAATTTTTACAAGAATTGTTTTCATTTTTTTTTAAAATTAATTAGACTAATTTATAAAGTTTAAAATCTTTTAAAATTCTGTCTTAATTTGACCCGGGTAAGTGAAAATATTATTAATTAAAAACTTCATAATAAATGGGAAAGCTCATCACATTTTAGCGACCCCCAATATTTAAAAAAAAAAAATTGAATTTTTTATTTGTATTTTTAAACGAGCCGATTTTTGTAAATACGGAAGTCTATACACGACATTATTATAACTATAGTAAATTTGAAGCGAACTTAAAGTTCAATAAAACATTAGAATATTTTACTAAATTTTTAAGATTACTGGATAGTTAAAAATTGCCATGTCTTAATATTTCGACTTTCATATTATTTTATGACTCATATTTTTTTACATAAATATCATCAATTAAAAATGTCTTTATTCTTTTTGGACTCCCGATAACAGAATAACAATCCGACTGTTTTTGCCAATATTTTCGAATATTCTCTACGAGCCAGATGCCAGTAAACACTTGTATCGTTACAAATTTTGGTTCTCTATGATTTA